ATCCATCCATCCATCCATCCATCCATCCATCCATCCATCCATCCATCCATCCATCCATCCATCCATCCATACACACTCACATAGTCATAGCTAAGGGCTATTTAGAGACACTGATTAAGATGCAGAGCACACAAACTACAAACTCTGAAAAACAAAAAATATTTAAAACATGTAAAGTTCATGTGAATATTGGAAAGCATGTCTTAATGGAGTTAATTTCAAACAATTTTTAAAAGAAGGGTTTAATTTGTTAAAGTATGCAATGAAAATGTAAATTATCCCTCGCTTTACTGATCAGGTTTTCCTCCATCCAAAAAAAAACAAACAAAAAACACAACATATGAGTAATTGCCTTAATTTTAAAAGAAGCTCTGCCAACCCTTTATCTGCCTCTGTGTCCGAGAAAGAGAAAAATTGCACTGTGCTGTTATACTGACACAAACACATGGATCATCCCCTCCCCATGCTCTCACTGCCTCCCAGCAGACTGACCAACACAGACGTTCTCATCATCCAGTTCGGCAGAGGCGTTGCGGAAGTATCCCAGTCTGCAGTGTTGGCAGTTCTGGCCTCTGGTGTTGTGCTTGCAGCTGACACAAGTGACGATGTTCAGGTAGTCGATGTAGCTGCAGCGGTTGGAGTGGCCATAGCACTCACAGTCTGAATGAAAAGAGACAGATTACAATTTAGTTCTCTAAAAGAAGAGGCTTATGTTTTGACCTTACTTTAAAGTGTAAATGATGGGAACAGGGAAGGAAATTTATTTCAGGTGACGGTAAGAAGTGTAAATTGATTTGTTCTAACAAATCTATCAGACAGGTTTAAACATCAGTTTAAAGAATAAATGGCTCTGTTTGCGTTTTATGGGGCAGCGCTCTCAGCTCTATATTGGGTCCATAAAGACAAACCACTCCCTCTCCATTAGTGCACTCACAGGTTTGCTGAGTCTGCTTTGGTGTGCTGCACTGATTACTGAAGGGAATTCCTTCATCCTCTGTGATTCTGAGGGCACGTATTTGTGTTCATGCATTTAATCTTGTGTAGGTTCAAGCATGTTAATTCTTCCTGGGAATTTAATTACATTACCAGATGACTCGATTATACGCTGCAAAATCATAAACAAGGGAATTGGAGGCGAGGAGGACAGTCAGTGTTTCTGTAGCCAAAGCTGACACTGCGAAATCAGCCTCACATGATGAGTCCAGTTTGGAGAAGGGAAATAGATTGATCCAGATCTGTTTTTAGAGATTTACACAATAGAAATGAGATGCATTCAGGGCAGTTTTCCTTTCATAGTTTTTTCTCGTTAAAGTCAAACCCAGGGGTCTGTTGTGCATGAAATAACTTGCAATCAATTTTAGGAATATGAGAGCTCCAGTGGTAATTAAAGGTTGTGAATGCTAAAAATTGGTTTATTTATTACCTTAATTGGAATGTGGTGGAGTTAATATAATGTAGTTTAGATTTAACTCTAACTTTTTTTTAAATCCTGATCCAAGTATAATCACCGTTAGATCAGCAGATTGAAAATCTTCTTGCAAATTTCTGGAGTTAGGGTTAGGGGTACTAATAATATAATTTATTACATTATTTAGCTAAATCTTTCGCTGTTATTGGTGATATAACTGGCTGCTTTCTTGATTGGCAGCACAAACTTTAAGGCTTAGTTTACTTTTTCAATTAGAGTGTTTTTTGATGCAATACAAAAAATTAAGCCTAAATATCTTACTGGTAAATATGAATTTGAAATTAAGCTTGTTAAAAGGGAATCTTGCCACACACTTTTATCAGTGTAATTATTGTAAGTGAGAGTTTTTGGACCTTTTTTTTTTTTTTATCAAAACACAAGTTCTTAACTTCCTTTCTGAAATCCATGATGAAAGCAGAGCCAAAGACATATTGTTGGTTTTCCATTTTTTTTGTATTGGATGTTTTGGATGACCATGCAAGCTGATCAAATTCATCAAAAGTAATTAGAAAAGCGCTTGAACCCTTCAATCTTTAACAGGATTGACAGATTCGTTCAGTAATGTAAAAAGTGACTTTGCTCCCAGTGCAAAGCTTGCTTAGCAGAGATATTTGCTGGAGGTGAGGTACAGAGAGGATGCTAGTTTTTTGTCCGAATAAATCCGATACAGGCTTAAATTCTATTGAATATAAAAATAAATATGATCTCTGACAGAAACAGCATAAAAAAATAGATTTTATAAAACATTTACCATATTTATTTCAGACAAAATATTTTTTCTAGGAGCAGGAAATATTACCTCTACATCACTGTTTTTTCATGCCAGGAGTGAACACTTGGCTTATATATTTATATTTTGTCACAGACAATAAATATGTAAAAAAGCAGAGAAATATTTTATATAATCTTAATAGTGACTTAGTTTTAGAAGACTTTCTATCCAAAATAATAAATTTAAAAGACAAAAATGTTTTTCTTAATTTTCATATGGTTTTTGCCTTTTTCAGTTTTCTGTTATTGTTCATTGTATGTATGGGCTTTATTTTTATATCTGCACTTAAAGAACCTGTGAGCTGCATTTTAAATGTAATTGTAAACAGATATAAATGCAAAATCATATTTTATTCAGTTGTTGTATTTTTCTACATTTTAAAATAAATATTTTTTAAGTATTGGAAAGTAAAGGCCCAAAGAGTTTAATCTCCTTCTACATTAAAACTCTGATGGAAGTTTTATTTGATATGTAAGCAGCCTCTCTGATTTTTTTAATTTTTTTTAGCAAAACACAAAAAAGTAAATTTGCATAATGATTTAAAGAATTTCTCTTCAGAGACAGATTAATGTGCAGCAACAGAGGTCTCCATGTTGTGCAGAGGCGGTGCAGCCACCAGTGGAGAGATGCTGTCCCACATTCGCTCCGTGATTATCTTGGCTGGGGCTGCTCCCTAATTACGCTTTTATTAAGCTTTAGAAGTTGGCTGCAATAGTGTGCTGCAAGGCATCACTGTCCTCTAAAGAGGCGTTTACCGGGCATGTTTATGCAAATACACATTTAAATGCACATTAAAAAGTCGGAGTTTAGCTGTTTAATCAGCCGTCACATTATTATTTTATTATTGTTCGGCTGATGATGCCAGCTAAAATATTAATGAGCCGGAGAACCATAAAGTGCCTTTCTCAGCACTGAGGGAACCATGCAAGCAGTAGGGGAGACCAGCCTAATTAAATATAAATGGCCAATTACTTTGCAGACTGGAAAGGCAATGGGACATTCTTCCTCAAATTAGCACAATGAGTCAAGATGCTGGTTTATTGGTATTTATCAGTTGTAGATGGTTAACAGTGAAATGTTATTTAGGGAAAGGACGGAGGACTAAGCTGACAAAACAATAATTGGATTTTTTTTTCCTAACAAGCATCCTTTTCAGAGGAAAAAAAGAAATGTAAACAGCAGTTAGATGTTTGAACAGGAATATTGACAAAAAGTGTTGCGTCTTACCTTAATCAAGGACATAAAGTGAACACAACCATGAGAGGGGAGAAGACAGAGTGAAAATAATGCATAAATGGAACATGAAGGAATTTTTCCACACACTTTATACTTTAGAGGATCCAGAGGGTGTATAAAGCCTAATCGACCTGTGCAGCTCTTCAGACCTCATGCTAAAATTATTGGTCTCTTACCTTTAAAATTGTCGTAAATGATCCCCAGTAACTGTTCGACCTGGGGCTCTCCTGAGATCAAAAGTTTCAGAAGTCCTTTGGGGAATGAAGGAATCTGTATTTAACATTCATGTTATTCAGTGTGCTATAGTCTTTTATAGCACTTTACATTCTCACAGCTGGAGTCTGTACAGCCTGGAGGGCTGTGTTAGAATGACACAGGAGTCTAAACAGGAATCTAATTGATGTTTGGTGTTTGGGTTCGAAACTAGTTTACCAGATGAAATGGAAGTTTACCTTTAAAGCTGACAAATTATAACTATACAGTGATCTCGACTGGTTAGATATACAAAGCTGGAAAGGATTTATATTAAGTAAATATCTAGTCCTGCCCTCTATATTATAATGAGTAGGATTTGATTGATTTGGCTGAAAAGACAGAAGGTTGTCAAACTCCCAGGAACAGAACAGTTTTTTTATTTTTCAAACTTAAACTTCCATTACACTTAACAGGATACTCAACTTTAAATAAATAAAGCATAAATACTGAAGCATATCTAGTTTGATCCTGAGGAGCTGAAAGGTTTTATAGCCATGGATTTCTTCAGTCAGAAGTTTACATACACAAAAATTAGTGTTCACTTCAACAAGCTGGTAAGGCACAGACAAATAGTTTCTTTTTTTTGGGGGGGGGGGGTGTCTAAAAACCTACAATTTATATGAAATACTAGAGAAATTCTATCCTTAAATGCTGTGGTGATCATTAACTATGGGGATGGGGTGGGAGGGGTGGGGGTGGAATCAGTTAAAAACATTACGATATACCAGCAAAGATTGAAAGATAAGAAAC